GGGAAAAAAGATTTATTTTTATTTCAAGCAAATTAAAAGCATAGGAAGAGAAGATATTTAAAATAAAAGATGCTGGTCCATCCTTATTTTATCTGTTAGCCTCATTTGTCTTAAAGATATTATTGGAATTCAACAATTACTATTATTATTTTTAAAAGAATTATTTATTTATTTAATTTAATTAATTTATTTGTTTACTTTAATTTGACCAGAGGGAGACATACACGAGGGGTAAGATGGCGAGGGGTGGGGGAGTGAAAAAACAAGCTACCAGGTTCAGAACTCAAACTGTGGTCAGCCATGTGGGAGTGTCTAGCACCTTAACCACCATGCCACCTGCTGGTTCCTCAGTAATTATTATTTTTTTATATCTCATTTAGTGTATTAAAAGTAGAAAAGTATTCCTGATTCAGAGACAAAGAGCTAAATTATTAGCATACTCTGGGCTTATTTTCAACGGAGAAGGAGATCTTTAAATGTACATTATTTTAAAGAGATATTTTTGCTATAGAGCATATGTGCTCACCAAAAATACAGAGAAAGACAGAGAGCCAGAAAGAAAGAAATTATTCCCCAGTGGAGATGACGACTCTGCAATCTCTTCTGTATTCTCCTCTCAGGATTTGGGGCATCACACTTTCTTTTCCGTTCTCCTTTCGGGATTTTGGGCATGCAGGCATTCACGCCTGGTTTGAGTTTTAAGCCACTGTGTCCTGGACTTATTCCAAGGTCTACTACAAGGAAGTCCAATGATGTAACTATTACACCATCTGCTGGTCCTGAAATCCACATTATCAATGGAAAAAAAATCTCAAACTGAAACTAGTCTGTAGGAACATTTCATATGAAGTCAATTTACAGCAGGTTTTAAAATGCTTTATTTTAAGAAAAGAGACTAATGCAAAGATGGAAGCATGTGTTTAATGTGGTGTTACTGAATAATCTTCTATCACAAAACTTAATTTTTTTCCTGCAAAACAGTGAACTTAGCTCTTACATAGAAGATATAAGTTTTGCTTATAGAACAAATGAGTTTAGTATGTAGACTTGCCTATATTATTAATGTTCATAAAGAAAGAAAAGATTGCTCTTCTTTTTATCGTGTTTTCCATAACACCATTCAGATATGCCTACATCATTTGCACTGAAGTGACAATTAGGGATTTAGCTTTTATATTCACTAATAATAAGAATATATACCTTAAAGCTTAGAAAATGTGTCTTTCCCATATCTGTTTCAAAAATGGAAAAGATATAGAATTATTTTTACATAAACAGATTCTTTCTTACCAATTTATAAATGCAATTAAGTAATTATACATTATTAAAAGCATAGGAAGAGAAGATATTTAAAATAAAAGATGCTGGTCCATCCTTATTTTATCTGTTAGCCTCATTTGTCTTAAAGATATTATTGGAATTCAACAATTACTATTATTATTTTTAAAAGAATTATTTATTTATTTAATTTAATTAATTTATTTGTTTACTTTAATTTGACCAGAGGGAGACATACACGAGGGGTAAGATGGCGAGGGGTGGGGGAGTGAAAAAACAAGCTACCAGGTTCAGAACTCAAACTGTGGTCAGCCATGTGGGAGTGTCTAGCACCTTAACCACCATGCCACCTGCTGGTTCCTCAGTAATTATTATTTTTTTATATCTCATTTAGTGTATTAAAAGTAGAAAAGTATTCCTGATTCAGAGACAAAGAGCTAAATTATTAGCATACTCTGGGCTTATTTTCAACGGAGAAGGAGATCTTTAAATGTACATTATTTTAAAGAGATATTTTTGCTATAGAGCATATGTGCTCACCAAAAATACAGAGAAAGACAGAGAGCCAGAAAGAAAGAAATTATTCCCCAGTGGAGATGACGACTCTGCAATCTCTTCTGTATTCTCCTCTCAGGATTTGGGGCATCACACTTTCTTTTCCGTTCTCCTTTCGGGATTTTGGGCATGCAGGCATTCACGCCTGGTTTGAGTTTTAAGCCACTGTGTCCTGGACTTATTCCAAGGTCTACTACAAGGAAGTCCAATGATGTAACTATTACACCATCTGCTGGTCCTGAAATCCACATTATCAATGGAAAAAAAATCTCAAACTGAAACTAGTCTGTAGGAACATTTCATATGAAGTCAATTTACAGCAGGTTTTAAAATGCTTTATTTTAAGAAAAGAGACTAATGCAAAGATGGAAGCATGTGTTTAATGTGGTGTTACTGAATAATCTTCTATCACAAAACTTAATTTTTTTCCTGCAAAACAGTGAACTTAGCTCTTACATAGAAGATATAAGTTTTGCTTATAGAACAAATGAGTTTAGTATGTAGACTTGCCTATATTATTAATGTTCATAAAGAAAGAAAAGATTGCTCTTCTTTTTATCGTGTTTTCCATAACACCATTCAGATATGCCTACATCATTTGCACTGAAGTGACAATTAGGGATTTAGCTTTTATATTCACTAATAATAAGAATATATACCTTAAAGCTTAGAAAATGTGTCTTTCCCATATCTGTTTCAAAAATGGAAAAGATATAGAATTATTTTTACATAAACAGATTCTTTCTTACCAATTTATAAATGCAATTAAGTAATTATACATTTTTTATTAGCTCTAGATCACATTGTAACACAAAGTAAAAATGAATGCTTAAACTTCTTGAATTGGTTGCAACCTTGCAAATTTCATTAAATGGCATCTGCACATATAAATGAAAATGAGGAATGGAAGCAATTTCCATCCTCTATAGCATCTATAGACTGTGACATTTTCCATTGGTACACTTTTGCTAAATGAGTTAAAATTCTTTTTTTTTTTTTGAGAGGTTTTTGCTATAGGGTATGTGTGCTCACCAGACAGATGGAGAGACAGAGAGACAGAAAGCGAGAAATCACCCCCCACGGGGGATGGCCACATTGCAATCCCTTCTCTCCCGTTCTCCTCTCGGGATCTTTGGGCATGCAAGCACACATGCCCGGCGTGAGTTTTAAGCCACTGGGTCCGGGATGTGAACCGCGGTCGACTACATGGGAGTCCAGCGACATAGCCGTTACGCTAACTGCTGGCCCCTAAATGAACTAAAACTCTTAACGCAATGTATTTAAATATGAGCCTAAATTATTATTATTACTCCAGACAATGAGAAGATACAGGGAGAAAACAAAACTGTAAAAGGTGATCATTGTGTTTGTGTGCAGTGTCCAGATGGAAAAGGGTCCAGGACAATTAAAAAGCCTGTTGAGTACTAGGCACTAAAAATGTGGTTTTAAACCTCCTCTGATGCAAAGCCTTAAGCAGATATTCTAAAGACCTTGGCTTTGAGAAAATAAAAACTTCACTGTCTCATCAAAATAGAAAATACTGAACAGTATACCATTTTAATTTGTAAAAATTTTTGCAGGTGTTTGGAAACATTATTTATTTACTTAATTACTGGCAAACTAAATTAATTAAACTACATTAATCCTCAAGAACTAAAGTTGTATTTAACCACAATCCACAGCTAATACTTCAAGAATTGAGACTAGATTTTATTTTGGCAACCCTTAAGTTGATTCATTAGTAATTGATGAATTTTAGTACCTTGCATGTAATTAGAAAATAAAAGTCTAAAATTTTGGTCAAAGGACTTTTTTTTTACCATCTTAAGCTACAAATGCACATCATCATGAGTCATATTTTTTATTAATTTTACTTATTGCCTACCAATGCTTGTTTTTTGTTTGTTTGTTTGTTTTTTGTTTTTTTTTTTGAGAGGTTTTTTGCTATAGGGCGCGTGCGCTCACCAGACAGTCAGAGAGAGACATAGAGACAGAAAGCGAGAAATCACCCCCCAGGGGGGATGGTCACGCCGCAATCCCTTCTCCACCATTCTCCTCTCGGGATCTTGGGCACGTATGCACACGCGCCCAGCGTGAGTTTTAAGCCACCGGGTCCGGGAAGTGAACCGCGGTCGACTACGTGGGAGTCCAGAGACATAGCCATTACGCTAACTGCTGGTTCCCACCAATGCTTGTTTTAAAAACATCTTTTTTAGGTGATTTTGAAATCTCTCTACATCTATGTGGGATACACAAAAATTATGTCATATCATGTTTACCTACAAAAGCCTAACAGAGCTAGTAGGTGCTACTCAATAAATACAAGTTTTGTTAAGAGTTTTCTCAAGGCAATTTGGAAAAGTTTTACACTTCCAAAATTAGCTGAATTTTCCTCTGAATTTGTCAACTAGGTTAATAAAATCCAGAAAGTCTTCAGAGTTCATGACAAAATCATCTTTGTAGTTTAATGCTCCCATCTACTGTTAAAGCAAAGAATAGCAATTAGAAAGAAAAGCATATTTTCCACAGCATAATTAATAAATCAATGTTTAAGTATTTGTGTGATATCCATTGGTATTAAATTCTTACTATAAATGAAATTAAAATTAAAATATCTGTTTTTCTTAAGAAAAAATTACTATTGCATGCCAATTTTATAGAAATAAATAGGTTTGGTATTTTAAGAAGTTTCTTACTATTTATCAAATGATGCAGAAAAAATATGTTTTTTGTCCTTTTTTGTTATTATTTTTCCTATGTGGCACATGTGTTCATTGAAGAAAGAGGAGAGAGAGAGGAAAGACAGAAAGTAAGAAATCATCCGCCAGGGTGTGGTGATCATGCTGCAGTACCTTCTCTTCCATTCTCTCCTTGGGATTTTGGCCATGCACACACATGCACCCAGTGTGTTTCAAGCCACTCATGTGCCCAGTGTATTTTTCAGCCACTGGGTCTGTGGCTCAAACAGCGCCGTCAGACATGAGGGATCCAGCTGCCAACATCACCACACCACTTGGTTGTTCCAAAATATGATTTTTCTAATGAAGGGAAGAAATTATTTATTCCAAACTATCTCCACTTTAAATTAAAAATAGTCATGACAGCATAACAAAAATGCAATTCAACAAAAAATAAGGAGACATCATGTCATCTAACTTGTTTTCCAGTTATTGAGAATGGATGCACCCATCTTGGTCAATCCTATGCGGAGAAAGATGTCTGGAAGCCGGAACCATGCCAAATATGTGTCTGTGATTTAGGATCTGTACTCTGTGATGACATAATATGTGACGATCAAGAACTAGATTGCCCCAACCCAGAAATCCCATTTGGAGAATGTTGCGCTGTTTGCCCACAACCTCCGACAGCTGTGAGTTTAAGAAAACTTGTACATCTTAAAGGCTCTTATAAAAATACATGAACAGCTCCTACATCATAGGAAGCTGAAAGAAAAGGAAAGTCATGTCTGCCAGTCATATAAATCTCACGCTAGAGAGCAAAGTAATGTTCACCAGAAGCTTGAGAAGGTAGAAGGAGGGGAACTGGGAGAATTTGGTTAACAAATGATACAAAATTACAGCTAACTATGAAGAATAAGATCTTCAGAACAACCACACTAAGATAATCATTTGTAACAATTTATTGTATATTTTTAAAAAACTAAAAGGGGATTTTAAAAAAATACTCAAATGTACAACAAATATTTAAGATGACAGAAATTATACCTACCCTCATTTAAAAAAAACTCAAATGTGCAACAAATAGTTAAGATGACAGAAATTATACCTACCCTCATTTTTCATTATGTGTATCATGTATACTGTACATGTATGCATGTATCAAAATATCACATTATATTTTGTAAATATGTACCTTTAGTATTTGTCAATTCAATATGACAGCAATTAAAAAGTTGCAGTGGTATTATGAGTAAAAGGTGAATGTTCTGAATAAGGCTAGAGATTAGACATATATATATATATATAATATTTTCCTATGTCTTGGTTAATCTGTTTCTTTTCCATTTATTAGCCCACTTACCCACCTGATGGTTATGGACCTCAAGGCCCCAAAGGAGATCCAGTAAGTAAACCTTCAGGGGAAAATAATGAATGTTAATGATGGTTCCAGGAATAGTTTTTTTTTTTTTTCTTATATCCTTTCCAGATTTGACCTTTCAGCACCCATACCTTTTTTTACTACTACAAATTTGGTCACATAAATGACAAACTAAGAATTTATAATTTTACATGTAAAGATTCAAATATCTCTAACTTCATATATTATCTGAAGCCCTATTAGTTCAAAAAATAAAACATAGGTCAATATAGAAATGAATATATTATATATAACTTATTCACATGATTTTAATAAAACTGCATTTATTTCTGGAACTGTATATCACTTATATTGTTTCCTAATCAGAGTCTAACCTGATAATGGTTCTGAATCACTAGGACTTATTGCTGTTTAATTTTACCTTTGACTTTTTTTTTTAGGGCCCTCCTGGTATTCCTGGGAGAAATGGTGACCCTGGTATTCCAGGACAACCAGGTTCCCCTGGTTCTCCTGGCCCCCCTGGAATCTGTGAATCATGCTCTGGTAATCAGGTAATAAATAACAAAACTAAAATATCCCTCAGTGAAACTGGCATCTTCTTTATTTAGCCTATAATACATGTCGCTATTACGAGTTCTTTATATTTGTTCTCTGATTTTATGTATTTAACAAACCCTTATTCAGTGCTAGTATGGGCTAGGCTAAGAGCTTTTAAGTCTTTGCTCTTCCTCATAATTCAGTGCTATTGCTATTGGTGCTATATCCTTGCAGAATTTTCCAGCTTCTCAGCTGGTATGTAACTTACACACTACATTTGAGAAGTGAACTACCAACTCCCCAGATTAACCTACAGAATTAGGGAAGTGCTATAGCTGTACTTCATGCCCCTTCTAACACCAATGTTAAAGGCTGAACAAAGTGGAAAAAGAGCTATGGATATCCTCTACCTCAGATCAATAGAATTATTTATACCTATACAACTACTCTTGCTAAACCTCTAGAACACAATCCCCTTGTTCTGAAGCATGGCAACCAACTAACAGTGATGTAAAACAATTCACCAAATAAATGAATATGACAAAATTTCTGCTGCATGAAATTAAGCATAATTAGAAAAGATACATGGACAAATCTAAGAGGTTAAAAAAAAAAGTGCTTCTTGGCCCAACCATAGTTGTGTGAGCTGGTTAATGCTGCTACTCAGCAGGCTGAGACCACATAAGTCTGGATTCAATATTTAGCATACTCTGAAAACCCAGATATGGTGGCACACAACCATCGTTTCAGCTACTCAGTAGGCTGAGGCAGGATTGCAACATAGTGAGATCACTCTCCCTCCAAAAAAAGTACTTTTTGAAAAACAATTCAACAAGAAGCAAATTATATCATCTAACTGATTCTTATCCTGATAACCAAATAGGATCCATGTCTAGACCTAGAAACAAAATAAGCTCCAAAGAAATTCAATAAGGGTATGAGCCTTTCTACTACTATTTTGTTTATTTTGTGGATAAATCTTTTAACATATTAACCAGGAACCAGGAGTATAAATTTTACTGATATCATTAACTGTTGGAAAATTAATCTGATTTCTCCATTTTTCTGCTCAAAATGAGGTTAGATTATGTGATCTCGAGCTCTTCCTCAGTCTATGATCCTATAATTCCATAGATTACTGCTCAGAATAGTTTGAATAGGAGTATATAGGAACAAATTTGCGGTACTAACATTGAATACATTTAGTTGAAAGATTAGTGCATGACACAAAAGAGTGTTTCTGTAAAATATTTCGTATCCAAAAGCATAGAGAGACACAATAAGCAAGATAATTAATACGTACCACATCTGACCTGCGGAAAACTTTTCTCAGTAAAGAGCAGATGTTACATGCCATTCTAAATGCTTTTCAAAATAACTATGACCTGTGTATTAAAGTGATCATATCTATCTGGTCTTTTTGCTGCAGAACTATTCTCCCCAGTTTGATTCATATGATGTCAAGTCTGGAGTAGGAGGAGCAATCGGTGGCTATCCTGGGCCGGCTGTGCGTACAAATATTTCTCAGCATTACAGAACTTCACTTAGCCTTCAGTTTGTTATATCTCGAATGGTTGTTCTTCCAGTAATACAGTATTTTAATGGAATTCTACAAAACAGCTTTTCCCTAATTAAGTTGGGGGTGGGATGGGGACAGCATGATCACGTTTCTTCCATTGTCAAGCATTTACCCTCACAGCCCCTCACATCACTTCTTCCCTGATGATCTTCTGAGTCAGTAGCCCGTTTACCTTTATGCTTAGGTCTCACACCCATATGTTCTTCACTTCTAATCAAATTCTTTTACTTGATGCATCTCCTTTTCCTCTTTCTCTCCTAAGTTGTTCAAAATATGTTCAAGTTTTTTTCATTCAGCAACTGCTACTTTCTACATGAAAGTTCACGTAATGTGCATCCAATATCATCACACATCTCACAACCATTTCTCAAGTTAAACACAAATATTTCCAGAATCCATTTATACATTTTTTAAAAGAATTATTTTATTTAACTTTATTTATTTATTTGTTTTTAATTTGACCAGAGAAGGAGAGAAAGAGAAAGAGAGAGGAGAGAGAGAGAAAGTGAGAAAACAAGCCACCAGGTCCAGGATTTGAACTGCAGTCAGCCATGTGGGAGTCCAGCACACTTAACTACCGTGCCACCTGCCAGCTCCTCCATTTAGACCTTAAGTTAACCCATATTAAGTAATAGCTGTTCACCTTGTACCTTAAGGGTATCACTAAATGTAAATGACCTAGACATTTGACTTTAAAAAGTAGCAAAAAGCATTAAAACTAAGCACATGGGGCTAGCAGGTGGCTTGTTGGTTAAGTCACTGGACTTTCATATGGTTAACCACAGTTCAAGTCCTGGACCTGGTGACTTGAAAATCATGCCTGATGCATGTGCATGCATGCCCAAAATCCCAGGAGGAGAATGGAGAAGAAAGGTTATGCATGGCCATCTCCTCTGGGAATGATTTCTCACTTTCCCTCCCACTGTCTCTCTCTGTCTCTCTCTGGTGAGTGCACACACTCTATGGCAAAAATAAAATAAAATAACATATAAAATAAAATAATAAAATGAACAAAACACCTTAATTTTAAAAAAAAATCTGTGTACATGTACATGATACATGTTGTTCTGTGTAAGTGACACATGTAGAACAGCTTATCAGGAAGGTTTTAATTTCATAGCAAGCTAAGGTGGATAAATGTCAATCACACATGGCACTGGGTTTTAGGGGCTGCAATTATTTTTGTATTTTTCAAAGCCAAAATGAAAAAGATATTATCTTACAAAAATATCAGGTCTTACTCAGCTACACTAATATTATGAATCCCATTGTAAAAATCAATGTACAGTTTTCACACACAAACACACACACACACCCTTAAGTAAAGTTACCATTTATTGACATTCTAGTCAATAATGTTTATAAGGGAAAAATGAATTACAAATCAGTTTTATCAATTTATTATTGATATCTAGAAATAGCGTAGTACAAAACTGAAGGTTTTCTAGTTTGACCCATGTTTTTGAACAATGATAAACCAATTTGTTATAGTTTTGAGTATTCTCATGCATGCATCCAAATCTCCATGTCGATAAAACCTGTGCTGTCAATATGTATGTCAATATATGGGAGCTTTGGAGTTGATTTACATCATTGTTTCAGAAAATTGATCACAGGATTTAGACCAACGTATTTTGCCAAACTGAGTTTGGCTGCCAGGCCAGAAATTAGTTCTTCTCCAGTGGAGACCCATCCTTAGAGGGTAGTAATTCTCACAGCATTTTGTATCAATGTGTCTATATTTTGAATTCTCTTCTGTAGGGGTTCAGGTCAACGTTTTATTACATTTATTATTAATTTTATTGATTCTGTGAGTATTTAATTTAAAGTAATTTTTGTTTTTGCTGAGATCTTTATTACATATTTTATAAAATTAATTGCATACATTAATAGCTATCAAATAATGATAGTTAATTGCATTTTTAAAGATGTCTGTGTCATTTTTAAACAAAGTCATCTTTTTTGACAAATGGAAAAAATGTATTTCATATTCACTTATTTTGTATTTATCATTCAAATTTGTATTTCAGGGTCCTCCAGGCCCTCCTGGTCCCCCTGGCACATCTGGTCATCCTGGCTCTCCTGTAAGTATAGCCATTAGTGCTTCCTTCTCCATGTAGACATAAACCAAGTTAATTAGAAACCTTTGTAAAGCTAGAATATATATATATATATTCTAGAATATATATATATATATTGAAATATATATATAAATGAAATTAAATGAAATACACTCAATTTGTTCTGATCTGGAAAATGTTGGTTTCAGTCTTTACAAACTGGAATAAAATTGTCTGACTATATTCACCAATCTGATTTCTTACTGTCTTCCAGATGTTAATGAGTCATGTAGGGATTATTGTATTTCTTAAGTACTTATGTATTATTCTACTCACTAGGGTTCTCCAGGATACCAAGGTCCCCCTGGTGAACCTGGACAAGCTGGTCCCGCAGTAAGTAACAATTAAATTTATATTTAAAAAATTGAAAGTGTTATGTAGAAAATACCTTCATTTCTAACACAGTTGTAAATCCCTACAAAGGACAGATTAAATTTATGCTTAAACTCTTTTCAATAAAAAAGCATTATTATGATAGTTAAACCAGTTTCAAAAATCTCTTAGACTTTTCCTGTGACAATACTACTTAATATAGATATTCTGGTTAATTAGCCATGACATTCCTAAAGTTGATACAAATTTTCTATTAAATAAAAATTTCATTTCCCTATAGCCACACAGTTCACCTTTTCATCTACTCTACTTAATATAGAAGAAATAAACATAATATATAAGAGCCCCCTAGAAAGATATGGTGTATACATAAGTAAGTAAAATAAAGTTATTTTAATATTTCAAAATATTTAAAATATATTTTATAGTTTTGTATTTGATATCTCAAAAAATGTAAAAGAACATTTGGATTTATAAATACACACATAATATAAAATATAGATTTTTTTTTTTTGGTGAGGTTTTTGCTATAGGGTACGTGCACGCGCCAGAAAGACAGAGAGACAGAGAGATAGAAAGCGAGAAATCATCCCCCCAGGAGGGATGGCCATACCGCAATCCCTTCTCCTCCATTCTCCTCTCAGGATCTTGGGCATGCACGCACACAGGCCTGGCGGGAGGTATAAGCCACTGGGTCCAGGACTCGAACCACGGTCAACTACATGGGAGTCCAGCGACATAGCCATTACTCCAACTGCTGGTCCCTAAAATATAGATGTTGATTAGTTTTCATTTAGAATGAGTTTACTAAACAGCAAAACTTGTATATGACAGATTTATAATATTAACTCAATGTCATTTTCGTATAAGAAAAATTGAAAGTACTTTCCAAATGGTAGTTACTTCTAGGAATACACATACAATAATAAACTTGAGCAAAAAAATTGGAAAAAATGTTTACTTTCTTTCTCCTTATTTTTCAGGGTCCTCCAGGACCTCCTGGTGCTATTGGTCCATCTGGTCCTGCTGGAAAAGATGTGAGTTTTTAGGGATGAAATGGGGGTAAAGCAAAACTTAACTTGGAATATTCAAAAAGGCTTATGCTATATAGCAGGATCTCAGAGGGAAAAACGCTACTCAAATAGTTTATGGTCTTAATATTTTATCTCATACTGATCATTGAGGGCCATATATACATATACACAATAATTGCATAGCTATATGTGCCATGTTGAATTTCAATGTAATGTGCATCTCAGCTAGGAAGACTAATCCAGTGAATATCATTTACTGGAGTGGAAATAAATTTCTTCTGTCTGATTCTTGTGATAAAGTAATTGATATTAATACTTCTTTGAATTTGAGGACTTATAGATACCTCTAATATTATGCCATTCTTTCTTTCCCCTTTGATTTCCCATGGCAAATTCTTCTCTACTGAGTTAAAGAAAGGTCATAATATTTCAGTGATGAGTCACACCTGTATTATCTCTTTATAAGTTTATTTTGAGGCATGCAAAGTCCTCCTTGTTCCTTCCACCAGTAAAGTTGGTGTCACAAGTATATATTTAGTCAAATCATTTTAATGATTCTTTGGTGAGAAAAAGTCAAAGTAATCAATCTACTCATTGGCAAAAATGTATTTTCTCATATAAGAGTACCTGTGTGTTCTTTATTTCTCCACATAGGGAGAGTCAGGAAGACCTGGACGACCTGGAGAGAGAGGATTGCCTGGACCCCCAGTAAGTCTTTAGCTTCTAATAAAATAATTGAAATAATCACAATTATCTTAACTTGAAAATGATCATATAATAAAATTGATTTCAACTTAGAAAGTGTTTTACTAATGGATCATGGTTCAATAAGAATTTTCTTTAACATATTTTCTATTCATTATTTTTAGGGTCTCAAAGGTCCAGCTGGCATACCCGGATTCCCTGGTATGAAAGGACACAGAGTAAGTGGAGTTTTTAAGTTAACTAAAATCTGTTCCATTTGGCAGTTTACTTGTCTACCCATTTTGTTGGATAATTGACTGTGTCTCAAAAATGGTTAATTCTGATAACTAGTTGATTTGATTTTTCTCTTTAGAGAGAGAGATTTTTGCCATAGGGTTTTTTCATGTACCAGGGAGACAGAAAGAGACAGAAAATGAGACATCATCCCCCAGAAGGGTTGGCCTTGCCTCAGTTCCTTCTGCTCCATTCTCCTTTATAGATTTTGAGCATGCACACATACACTCCAGGTGTGAGTTTTAAGCTGCTAGATCCAGGACTCAAACCATGGTCAACCATGTGTGAGTCCAGCAATGTAACCAGTACACCATTTGCTGGTTCCATTGATTTGTGTTTTGTTTTTCTTTTTTAAAAAATAAAGTCTGTCAATTTTATATGTTCAAAAAACTAGTTACTTTATGAAATATGATGACTGATTTGATTTTAAGTGTATTAAAAGACTAAGGAAAATAATGTAACTTTTATACCACAGCTATCAGAAAAAAAATATTTTATCAACTCTGTGTTATTCATTGACATAGTCAATATGATCTTTAGTTTGAATCAAGTAATATTTTTCTCTGTGAAGCAATAGGTAGAAGCAACCAACTGAATCATAACTCTACTAACTTAATAGAAATAATATATATAAAACTTATTTTTGCTACTCTATGGTTGTTAAGATTAAATTGTGCTTCCTAAATACTCTAGATTTTTTACTGTAAAATCAATGTCAAATATCTCTGATCAATGTAAAAGAGTTTTAAAGTGTTTAATATTCAAATAATGCTCTGTTGTCAAGGCCAAATGTAAAAATTCAAGGGAAAACTTATTAATAACTCTGAATTATTAACAGTTTTTGAAATATTTACTATTATTATACACTTCACAGGGCTTCGATGGACGAAATGGAGAAAAAGGTGATACAGGCGCTCCTGGATTAAAGGTAAAAAACAAAATCATATTTTTAGAAATAAATTTATTTAGGTTTAAAGCTGCATTTAATATTTATACTATGGGTTTCACTTTTGAAATTTGCTTGAATTTTACATACTGGGAGCTAGATCATAGTAATTGGGATAGTTTATTAAATAAAATTTCCATTAAGGTTGAAAACTTAGTTTAGAGATGTTTGAGCCTCCTAGTGTAACTCACTTATTGCTTCTGTTTAGTCCTCAAGCTTTTAGAATGCAGAGCCTGCGATTTCTGATAAATAAAATACCAAGAGGAAATTGATATTGTTAAAATTTGTATCTTTATCTTGTACTCCACAGTATTTTCCATAAAATGCTATATTTTCAAAACCTTAAAATTATCTTCCTGTTAAAATACATAGTAACATCTTTTATACGTCTCTAGGGTGAAAATGGTCTTCCAGGTGAAAATGGAGCTCCTGGACCCATGGTAACTTTTCTTATATACTTTTCAGTTTTATTAACCTAATTCTAGCCCCAAACATGCTTTATTTGCTCCCATCCATTACATATGTCAAGTTTAAAATAGGATCATACTTTTAATGTTACCGTAGGGTCCAAGAGGTGCTCCTGGCGAGAGAGGACGCCCAGGGCTTCCTGGAGCTGCCGTGAGTATTGTTATCAATATTGCACAACTACAACCCAAAGTGGCAGATTAAGTGTTCAGGCTGTGAAAGTCTGCAAGAAAACTTCCCTTCCTACACTCAAAGTCAGCACAATGCAATTTTGGTTACAATTATAGGGAAATAGAAAAAAAGTTTTATAATTTTTATCTCTGTTGGGGCTTTTTTATTAAAGAATTATTTTATTTGACTTTATTTATTTTAATTTGACCAGAGAGGGACAGAGTAAGTGAGAGAGGAGAGAGAGAGAGGGAAAGTAAGAAAGTAAGCCAACAGGTTTGGGACTTGAACTGTGGCTGGCCATGTGGGAGTCTAGCACCCTTAACTGCCATGCTACCTGCCGGACCCATGTTGGGAATTTTTAAAGTGTTAAGTTTGCATGTGTCGTTAAAGACATTATATCTGCATTCATTGCTGAAAACACAATTCAATTATTCTACATCTGATCAGTGTATCAGAATGTTGACAATTTGACTCTAAAAATACATAATTAGTAAGTAGATTTTAATATCCTTGAGGAAACTTCAACTCTCATGAGTCAGAATTTTACCTAAAATGTTATTTTGAACCAATGCTTTAGAATTAAGAAGAGAGTTGAAATAAACTTCTCTTTTTAGGGGGCTCGAGGTAATGATGGAGCTCGAGGTAGCGACGGTCAACCAGTAAGTACTTTTGTATCTCTTTGATTTACTCCAGAGTAATGAGAAATTATGGATTGTAGGTTATTTTAATATCATAGTGTGTGTACACGTGCATGTGCGTATGTGTGTATAACTAATGCATGTATTAGCATCTATGTGTATGTGTGTGTATAACTAATGCATGTATTAGCATCTATGTTGAAAATTTTTATATTTTTTTAAGAAGGAAAAAGTAATTTTGTTGTAGACTCAATATTCGACATTGTACATAAACTCCAATTCAAACTGACAGTGAGCCCATAAAACAAAATCTAGGTTCTGATAGTCCTTAGTATGCTTGAGCAGTTGTTAACATCTGTATGGTTCTTAAAATTTGGATTAATATTCAATATTGAAGATGATAATAAAAAGAGCCCTGAAGAATAGGTAATAATGTTACTTACATTCTGTAAATAAGGGTATAAAAGCTCAGGACTAAGTAATTTGGACAAAATCACAGAATTCATGGCAGAAAAGGGAAGACACACAAATTTTCTAAATTTTAATTTTATTCTCTTTTTATTTTGCCATATTGTTTCCTCACATAATATCTATTAAGGAATGATAAATACTCATTTTATGTCCATAAGTGTCTTCTGAATTATATGAATGTTAACTTATTGTTTATTAGTGGTGTTAGTATTTGTTTATTTGATTCAGAGATCTTGAAATTGTAATATTTTTCAGGGTCCCCCTGGTCCTCCTGGAACTGTAGGATTCCCTGGATCCCCTGGTGCTAAGGTAAACTTTTTTATTTTATTTATTTATTTATATTTTTTTAATAGAAGAGTACAAAATTATCTTGGAGACAGCAGAAAAGCATTGGATTATTTATCTCAGATGAATTTTTTTAAAACCAGCCTTTATCTATACAGATCTTTAAAGCTCTATTCTTGATTTCAAATGGAGTATTATCCTTGTCATTCAACTATCCTGATACCTCTTCTGATCTCTTCTCTCTTAGACTCTTTCTGGGGAGCAAAGATAACATAGTCCAATACATATTTATCATTTTTTCTCTGCCTTTATGACTGATGATTCCTTTCTTTAGCTGCAGAATAGTCAAATTATTCCAACCTTTGGGAGACAGGTTTAAACAGGGCTCTGAAATGTGAACTGGGTAAGTAATTAGAAGGGTCAAGGGAAACTGACTCCCAAAGGTTTTATCCCTTAGGGTGAAGTTGGACCTGCAGGGTCTCCTGGATCAAATGGCTCCCCTGGAGCAAGAGGAGAACCTGGACCTCAGGGACATGCTGGTGCTCAAGGTCCTCCTGTAAGTAGCAAATATGGTGGTTGAGAGGGAGAGAAGAGAGCTACCACCCTTTATCCATGAAAGCTTATGTTTCAATGTTGCTATCAATTAAAGTAGCTTCTTTGAAAATAATGTTATTTCATGTTCTACATTAATTCTACTGTTAAAAATACTGATTTGACTAGAAGTGAAAACTAGTAGTTTTAGGGCTACATGATTTTCAGATTCATGAATTTTATGTTTAATGCAGAATAAAGTAGAAAATGGCTAAAATAGTCACCTGATACTTTGAAGAATGCCCCAAACTAATACCCAATCTGAAAAAAATAAAAATAAAAAAGAGAAAAACCCCAAACCTCTCTTGTTAATTTATTATTTAATAATTTAGACTAAGTGCATATTATTTCTAATTTATTGAGTTAATGATAAGTCTCTTGCCTTTGTTTTATAATAATATTGTGCTATAAACATAATGCTTACCAATCAACTTATCTTACAAGTAAATAAACCACTTTGAATATACACTCATTATTTCCATTCTTACTAATATGCTCTTTTTTCCTTTTCTTTTCCCTTTAGGGCCCTCCTGGGATTAACGGTAGTCCTGGTGGTAAAGGTGAAATGGTAAGCTGCTCCTCCCTGTCTCGTCTTTATGTCATCCACACAGACATCATTGTCTTCTTTTGCACTTTGCATGGCAATAGATTTACAGAGATAACTAGATAAAGCATTCAGGAAAAGTTTCAGTTTGGCTAATGTCAGTGTCCTTGGGTTATTCTTAGGGTCCCGCTGGCATTCCCGGAGCTCCTGGACTGATGGGTGCCCGGGGTCCTCCTGGACCACCCGGTGCTAATGGCTCTCCTGGACAGCGAGGTGGTGCAGTAAGTTGTCTTTTGTTTTGCTGTGGTGGTTGTTGCTCGAAGGCGTGACTTTTATTCCACACCAAAACTATGAAGAGCAGTGTTTTTGATCCCGTTCAGTTAAATATTTATTGATTCCACTCTGATGTTATAGTGTGACTAACGATGATTTTATTAATTAAATATTCCCCTTTTTCAAACCAAAATTTTGTTTCATTTTAGGGTGAACCTGGTAAGAATGGTGCTAAAGGAGAGCCAGGACCACGTGGTGAACGTGTAAGTATTACTGGAACAGTTTGCTTATATCTTAGGCACACTTAACTATGACACATTATAGACAAAAAAATTTTTTTTTCAACCAACCAAATTAAGTCATAATTTCTATATCGTCCCATCTGTTTTTAGGGGGAAGCAGGTTCTCCGGGTATTCCAGGCGCTAAGGGTGAAGATGGCAAAGATGGATCACCAGGAGAACCCGGTGCAAATGGACTTCCAGGAGCTGCAGGAGAAAGGGTACATTTTCTATGGGGCATTAAAAACACGTCACTGTGATCGAAATGAACCTTCAGCTTCCTGGCGAGGCAGACATTGTTTTCCTTAAACTGAGTGCCCATCCCAAATCTCATTTAAGGCATTTTATTACATGAGAATACCTATACTGCCACTCAAGAATAATGAAAACCTCTTACGCCTTTAGACTGAAAAATTTGGCTTTTGTTACTTCCAGGGTGCCCCTGGATTCCGAGGACCTGCGGGACCAAATGGCAAAAGGTAATTTACTTTAGTTCCTATTTTTCTATATGTTATTACTACAAATGAATATATCTTCTATACAATTATCAGTAATGAAAAGCTAAATATCTGAAATAAATATATTGGAGTTAAAAAATAATTCTCAATGAAAGTAACGTTTTACAAAACTTTGTCCAGCCTCTGTTTAGGCACTTTCCCAATTTTATAATTAAAGAAAGTCACCCAACTTCTGTAAAAATTCTTTAAATTATCTGTCAATTGAAAATCATTGATCTGGGACCAGTAGATAGTGTAATGGCTATGTCCCTGGACTCCCATGTAGTCAACTGCAGTTTGAGTCCCGGACCTGGTGGCTTAAATTCACACTGGGTGTCTGTGTGTGCATGCCCAATATCCTGAGAGGAGAATGGAGGAGAAGGGATTGTGGCAGGGCCATCCTCCCTGGGGGGTGATTTCTCGCTTTCTGTCTCTCTGTCTCTCTCTGTCTTTCTGGAGAGCGCACGCACCCTGCAGCAAAACCTTCTCAAAAAAAAAAAAAAAAAGAAAGAAAGAAAGAAAGAAAGAAAGAAAGAAAGAAAGAAAGAAAGAAAGAAAAAGAGAAAAGAAAATCATTGATCTCAGCATTTTTGCAAGAATAAAGTAAGCCAAAGCATCTGAAAGTTCTTTGAAAACTCTAAAGTGATGTGGAAATATAATTTTATGTCATCAAAGATATTTGACTTTAGATTTGGAGAAATATATTGTAAGGTTCACTAACTTTTTTCCAAGCATGCAACATTTCCCACAGTTACTTCAAAACTCATTCAACTTTAGTTAAGATAAATGCAATCTTTATACAGAGAATGTCAGCAACACATCAACTCTTTAAGAGGCTATGTGAAGTTTTCCATGTGTAACCTGTATATTGTTGATGTCTAAGTCAATGAAGGCTATTTAAAATATTTGTTATTTATTTTATATTTAGGGTCCTCCTGGGGACCGTGGTGGTCCAGGCCCTGCAGGGCCCAGAGGAGCAGCTGGAGAACCTGGTCGAGATGGTGTCCCTGGAGGTCCAGGATTGAGGGTACAAAGAAATATCGATTTGCATGACATTGTGTTGTAGTAAAAAGAAAAGGCAAATGAAGATGAGTGAAAGATAATTTAAACTATATTATACCTTTTGTAAGGCTCAAAACAAAGCAAACTTATTAATTGAAGAAAACTGAGGCCAGACAAGTCAAAGAACAGAAAATAGAGCACTTGATTAAGACACATTATAGACAGATAAAAAAGAGTGTATGAATATGAGCTACATATATAAATGGAAATCTCAAATTGTACCAATAGTGCATGTTGTATTTTTTTATTCTCTATTGTAAATCATCTGAAAATTGACTTTTTTCATTCAGGGTATGCCTGGAAGTCCAGGAGGACCAGGAAGTGATGGAAAACCAGGGCCTCCAGTACGTACATTTTTTAAAATCTCATTTTACAAGCCTAGTAAAAATGGAACATATATTTCAACCTAGACTTGAATATTTATTGTTTATTTTGACCGGCTCTTTGTCAAACATTTATTAATGTTTGTTCGTTTGTTTGTTTGTTTCTCATTAGGGAAGTCAAGGAGAAAGTGGTCGACCAGGTCCTCCAGGGCCATCTGGTCCCCGAGGTCAGCCTGGTGTCATGGGTTTCCCTGGACCCAAAGGAAATGATGTGAGTATCTTCATTTACATCTTCAATGCTTATTTGACAGAAGGTCTTTTACATTCCATGTGGGAGTGCAGATATGGCCAAAATTTGATCTCTTCTTCAATGCATGGAAGAGGATATGAAAGGCAAACAGCACAAGCAAGGGAGCTAAACTTACCATTGTTTTGGACTGTATGTGTGTGGAGAAAGCAAGTCAAAAAGTAAGAGGGAACAATATGATTAGTGATTTCCTTTTGAGAATTAATAAACTGTCCCCTTCTTCTTTAGGGTGCCCCTGGCAAGAATGGAGAACGAGGTGGCCCTGGGGGACCTGGCCTTCCAGTATGTAGCTTTAATTGACTTGTTTCTAGCCTTCTGATAGATGCATTCATTTCCAATATTATAGATGCTCTCTATTATCTGTATTATCTTATTTTCCCTTACTGTCATTGCTTTTAGGGTCCTCCTGGAAAGAATGGTGAAACTGGACCTCAAGGTCCCCCAGGACCTACTGTAAGTTTATTTAAATGCATGAAGGATGGAAGTGGGGTGGAAATAGAATATGGCAAAGGCTTCAAAATTATAAAATCTCTGTTATCAAAGTCACTGAAGCAATTATGAAACCTATCTATTTATTAGCTATCTAGCTGCTGACATTATGCAGGTTCCTATGGTACGGGTTTGCTATAGGCTGCTTCCATAACCCAGGCTGTCTCCTCTCTTTTCAGCATTGCTTTTTAAACTAAACAATAGGCTTTCTGAAATGGAAATTGCATGAACTAAATATGAAAGAACATTTGATAATGAAGTGTTTGATTATATTTTTCTACATAGGGGCCAGGTGGTGACAAAGGAGACACAGGACCCCCTGGTCCACAGGGATTACAAGTAAGAACGTGTTTTTTAAATGTTAGTAGAGTCTTGATTTTAGCACACAGTTTGGTACTTGCCTTTCATAGCTGTATTTGTCCAATAAATTGTTCAAATTTGTGTGACCCTAGTAGATTACAGTTCATCTGAAGCTTAGTATGTGGATCTGTCATCTATCTTCTTGTTTTATTTTAGTTATATAGTTTATTTATTTAGTGAGAGAGAGAGAGAGGAGAGAGAGAGAGAAGTGCCTTTGATAGGGTCTCACCATGTCATCCATGATCATTCCCCATCTTCCGAGCTAGCCAGGATCACAGCCACATGTAGACATCTCAGCTTGTTCAGATTGATTTGGAATATAAACCCTGGTCTCCCTTATGGACTCAGTGTAATGCACCAGCAGCCTACCCCCTGAACCACTGGGGCTGGTCTTGTTTTCCATTTTGAAGTAAAATCTGAGGCAATGCTAGTAGATAGGCATATCTTTCATGTCTTTTCTAGAATGAGTGCATTCAGTTATTAAAAAATAACTAAACTCATATCAACTTCCACTTATTTTTCATTGTAAGTCTCTATATCTATAAATCCATTCTGCTCATAAATACTTTGAAATATGCAGTAACAGATGAATACAGGGAGATGAACATAAGTTTCTAAGATATAATAACTATATCCCTGGATTTTGAATGGCCTAAACTTACAACCCTGAAGAAAACCTCACTAAAATCATTTTATGAAATATTTTAGAGAAACATGTTTACATTTGAGAAGTTTTTTTATGATCAGTGTTTAAGGTGATTACATAAAAATAATACACTTTTTCTTTTTGGTAGGGCTTGCCTGGTCCTGGTGGTCCTCCAGGAGAAAATGGAAAACCTGGTGAAGCAGTAAGTTGCATTTCCTTCCAGAACTAAGAAAACAAAAGGATACATAATAATGATTTAGCAATTATTAACTTTGCATTTTCTCATGCCATGGTACTGAGTTTTAACACTGAGTTTTGAGATAATGCTTATCAAAACAAAGGTAAATTATTTAAAAGTAAGAATTATATAGAGAGGTTAAATTTAATCATAAAATAAAAGAACTAAGAAAAGAACATATAGTTTCAAGATTCGAAAATTTATACAACATGCAAACAAATCAAATGTGTATTTTGTTCATATTTAAATAATGCACATTCTGAAACAGACCTTCTGCCAATCTCCTAGGGTCCAAAAGGTGAAGCAGGTGCACCTGGAACTCCAGGCGGCAAGGTAATCATTTAATGTATCCTCTAATTTCTTCAGCCTATTATAGAGCAATTGATTAGTGCTGCATTTTTAGTAACAAAACACCTCTTCTTTACAATAACATCATTGTAAATGCTTAGTGAATACACTTAGAAAAACTCGAGACCATTCCAATACATTAAATTTCTTTATCTAGTCAATCCAATTCTCTGACTTTAATAAGCACCACAGAATCAACTATTGACTTAAAATTTCTAAAAGAAAATACTTTTTATCCATTGATTCTAGGTAGACAAACTTGTGGTAGAAAAACTAAAAATTTATCGTAGTGAATAAAATAATAGTAAAATAAATGTTTTTAAGACAACTCATGCTTAGGTAGATCAAGTATCAGTTTTCTTGCTTAGTTTCCAGTTTCCACTCAGCTTATCAAATATTTTTATAATTGTAAAATATCCCCCAATTGTTCACAAATAGAGGCTAAGGACCTAGTGGCCTACATCAAAATTATTGAATTTAAGGTGATTTTGTTTCATTTTTTCGTGAGTTTTCTAATACAGTTTCTAATACATTTTCCTATTACAGGGTGATGCTGGTGCACCTGGTGAACGTGGACCTCAGGGATTGGCAGGGGCACCAGGACTTCGAGGTTTAAATGGTCCCCCAGGTCCCGAAGGAGGAAAGGTAACCCACAGAATTCAATTTACTCAGATTTCAGAGAATGCATTCCAGTGTTTGTTTTTGATTTTGATTTTGCCTTTTTACTACTTTTATCCTTAATTTCAGGGCCCTGCTGGTCCTCCTGGGCCACCTGGGCTTTCTGGATCTCCTGGTCTACAAGGGATGCCTGGAGAGAGAGGAGGTCCTGGAGCTCCTGGTCCAAAAGGTGAAAAGGTACTGATTTGTTTTCCTCTGAATTATATAATAAAATGGACAGTGGAGGTTACAGGAAAGCAACACTGCTGAAAGTGACCTATCAATATTTTCAAACATTATATTATCATTTTATAGTCAGTGAACTCTAAGATGAATTTCTAGAGCAACCGTTAATCAGAACATCTGATGAACATCCCAGAAAATCTTGAGGGTTGCTTTTCTTCTTTGCGGATTTTCACTGAGGATGCTTTTAATATGACAACATTGGTTTTTATTTGACAGGGAGAACCAGGTGGAGCAGGTGCTGATGGAGCTCCAGGGAAAGATGGTCCAAGAGTAAGTATCACATTGGGAAGAAAAATCCCTTATCTATACGTTATGTAGGGTAGTTCCTCACTTCCATTTTTCTCAAAAAGCTACTCACACTAAATTAGACCATCTTTTACCAACTTTAGAGGATTAAAAAATTCCAGGTGACTTGATGGTTTAAATGCTTGGTTAAAAACTATCACTACCTGAAAGTTCTGTACTGACCTAAGAATGTAAAAATCTCAAAAGTATAATAAAGCCCACAGGTAAAGTTGTATTCATTAAAGTTCAGGATGAACAATACTGCCCACTAAGAAACTAAAATCTTCTAAAATTCAAGATAATCATTAATGCTCACTAAGAAACATTTTTTAAAATTGCCAGAGTGCACATGGGCAGGCCAGAATGAGATGGGGTGGGGTGGGAGGGAGAAAGCACCCCCTTGGGTCATAGTCATGCCACAACTTCTCCATATATCCTTCCTTTTGGAATTTTGGGCATGTGCATTCATGTGCTTGGCATGCTTTTTTTTTTTTTTTCTTGGCATGCTTTTCAAGTCACTGGATCCAGGACTTGAAATGCAATCAGGATGTGAAACAGAACCATAGACTGGTCCAAGAAACTTTTTAATTAAAAATATTCTCCACTAGATTTCTTTTTTGGTTGCTAAAATCCAAAATAATCAATATTGCTCATAAATTTATAGCCACTAAAATCCAAATTATCTTAATACTGCTCATTAAGAGATTTTTTTTTGATCTTAAGAAGGCTTTGTTATCCTGTGGTATGTTCATATCATGGAATACTACTTAGCAATAAAAAGTAATGAGTCATATGATGTTCACTCATATGAACATCATGCTGAGTGAAAAGAAGTTACTTTCTGAACGATACATACCACATGGGTCCATTGTTATAAATAACATAATTTTAGAGATGAAGGACTGTTTAATGGTTGCTGGAAATTAGTAAAGGTGAGGGGGAGATAAACGTGGCTATGAAGAGGTAACGTAAGGGAGTTTATGGTTACTGCACATTTGAGTATCCTGAATGTGATAGTGGTCATACAAGTCTGCACAATGATAAAATCCTATAGAATTACACACACACACACTCACAAGTGTGCAAGTGTTGAAATATGAATAGTTTTATAGATTGTATCAATGTCAATTTCTTAGTTTTAATATTATACTATATTTGTGGAATATGTTAACACTGTAGCTGGAAAAGAGGTGCACAGAATTTCCCGTGACATTTCTTTACAACCTCTTGTCAGTCTACAACTGTCTCTAAAAGTTAAAAACCAGCGAAACAAGTCCTGAACCTGTTGGCTTGCTTTCTCACTTTCTCTCACTCTCTCTCTCTCTGAGTCAAAGTAAAATGAATGAATGAATAAATGAATGAGTAGATAAAAATAAATAATTCTAAAAAAATAAATAAATAATTCTAAAAATACCCCAGCAAAACAAAAAACTTTTTAATCGTTTCTGTTCACATTAGCAAGTGCCTTCTAGATTTGACCGTAGCACATAAACATAATTAATCCAGTTCATAGATAACATATTTACTGAGGTTGCCTTAAAGAAATTCATACATACTTCACTTTTGAAAAACTCTACAGATAAGCTATTATTCCAAAAAAAGAGATGCCTAGTAATTCATTTATGTGTATTTATGGTAGAAAAATTTATTTTACTAGCTGTTGTAATGTACAGTGATTAAATGTATAAAACAAATTTTAAAAGAATTTAAAAAGTAAAACTAGTATCTAGAAACTCCAAGTTGGAAAATGTAATATGTATCATTATAATTTGTGTAAATCAAGTATTTTAAATTGCCAAACAGTTGAATAAAAGAAATGTCTTCAATTTTAGAAAATTAAAGATGTTATATCTTTACTGTAAGATGTTATATCACATCTTTTTTATCTTCTGCAACTGAGGTAAAAATGAGTGAAGCAACAAACCACTGGTGAATTCTCTTGTCTTCAAGGGTCGTTCTCTTGGAAAGTTGCACTTACTTAGCTCTGCAGGATTTGCAAACCGAGTGAAGAATATATCACTCGAACCATGCAAAGATATCACCTAGTCTATTAGATGAATTGCATGTCTTACATGTTATCTGTTTGATTAATATTAAAAAAATATTTTTAGCTTCAAAATTTAAGATACATTTCTGTTTTCTTTAGGGTCCTACTGGTCCCATTGGTCCTCCCGGCCCAGCTGGCCAACCTGGAGATAAGGTAATACTTGACACTATTCAGAAACATAAATAAAACATTTGACTTTGGATATAGGACAATGACAATAGTGTTTATTTTCTCTTTTTTCAGGGTGAAGGTGGTGCCCCTGGACTTCCAGGTATAGCTGGACCGCGTGGTGGCCCTGTAAGTGTTAAAACTATTTTCAACCTTTAAAAATTGCACTCAGGTAATGGTTTATTACCTGTTGATGATAACATGTATAGTATTCTCATGATTGGTCAGAGGTGTATTTCATTTTGGGTAAATTTTCTTTATCAGCCAAATGATGTATAGCAATCAAATGTATTTAAAAAAAAAGATTAATAGTAATAATTTTTTTGAAAAATCCACACAAGCTGTAGCAACTTCTTCCTTTTTTCAGCAATTCTTTCCCAGGTACCCTGAGCCTCAATTTTTGGATACCATCTTTAGGAGCCAAATGACATGGAGGGGAATATTAAATTTCCTATATCTAAAATTCACAAGAGGCAGTTTTAAATCACATTATCTTTCCTAAATAATTCTGGGGAAATTAAATTGCACAGCTCATGTGCATTTGTAAATACATATTCCTTAAACCTATAAAATCTTTGCCTGAGATTCTTTCTGGATCTAAACCTCTCTAACATCAGAGTTTAAGACTCAGGGTAGATATAAAGTAAATGGTTTTAAAAATTAATTATTTGATTGATTTTTTCCAATGAATTTTTCTAACATATTTTAAAATACTTACATTTTTAAAGTTATATAATTCAGTAAATTTAATATTTGAAAATTCTCAAACTATTTTTCTTACAAATGGTTCTGGTATTGGTACTCTTAATTTAGAAGAAATGGAGAAGTCTCCAGAAGTTAAACTCTTTCAGTTACCTTTGTGCGTTCTCTGTTTACAGGAAAGATAAGATATGTACTCCCTGTGGGGAGATATCTTCACTTTGTTTAAGGAAGATATTTTTCTCTTTAGGGTGAGAGAGGCGAACATGGGCCTCCAGGACCTGCCGGTTTCCCTGGTGCTCCTGTAAGTATGAACATGAACTACATGTCACATGACCAGAATCACCAGCTTGCTAAAAAAATTGAAGTACAAGTCAAGTTTGGATTCTAGTCCTGCTTCAGCCACTCACTCCCTGTGAAATAATTCTCTCTTCCACCTTTCAAAACTTGACTCTTATTCTTATTTAAATAAAAACACCTGCTCTACCTTTCTGCCCCAGTGACGAGGCTGAAACTTCAGCATAGATTTGAAAGTACTCTGAACATTTAAAACGTCCTTCCATTATAAGATGGTACAAGTTAAAATTCACTCTGTGTCCAATATCTCTCAAAGGAATTTACTAATATACATTTTCAAATGTACAATCCTGCAAAAGACTTTCTCCCTAATGGCAAAAAATATGCTTCTTATATTTTTTTGATAATTTTCTCTTAGCATAAAAATATTTTGAGTGACTTTATCTTATCACATCTTCAGACAGCTATTTCTATTTAATTTCAATGTCTTTCCATCCAAACATGTCTATATTCTGAAAAGAAATAGTGACAAGCCAATTTATGGTAAAGGATGTAAGCTGACAGGTTGTTCCTCTATGTAGGGACAGAATGGCGAGCCTGGTGCCAAAGGAGAAAGAGGCGCTCCAGGTGAGAAGGGTGAAGGAGGCCCTCCTGGAGTTGCAGGACCCCCTGGAGGTTCTGGACCTGCTGTAAGTTTCTCTCTCTCTTAATTTTCTCTCTCAGCCTTCTAATGAAGAACACTCGGGTTTATCAAGAATATTAATATTTAATTTTTGAGATAGCATGCTATGGTGACAAGAATGTAATCTTTAAAGGAATATAGTTCTAAGTTTGAATCTTGGCTACAGCAGTCTAGATAAGACCACATTCAAAGTTATTTTAACTTCTTCTTAGAGTTACTGTTTGTCTAAGGCATATGCTTCTTCAAGTTTTGATTTTGGTGTTATTCTTATAGACCTTTTATCCCCTTTCATGTAGGGTCCTCCTGGTCCTCAAGGTGTCAAAGGTGACCGTGGCAGTCCTGGTGGTCCTGTACGTACTGATTCTCTTCATTATTTTTCTCTGAATTATTGTTGAAAAGCATTTATTGACATTAACTCATATAAAATTGCTTTAAAGACACTACAGCCATAAAGAGAGTATAAAAATTATAACTATATAAGTTACATGCAAATTCTAAGGGGGAGAAAAGCAAACCATAAATGACTTCAAGGTAGAATGCAGATCCTAACACATTTCTTCTGTTTGTTTGTAGTTCATAGTTATTTGTTCATCTTTTGAAATTAAAAAAAATGCATTATCATTTTACAGGGTGCTGCTGGCTTTCCTGGTGCTCGTGGTCTTCCTGGTCCTCCTGGTAATAATGTAAGTGCATTTAAAGATCTTTCTTCAATATATATTTCAGAAAGAGTATTCACATATGCATGGAATGAGAATTTACACATTGCTACTCAACTCTCTGTTAAATCGCATATAAAATTATTTGAAAGTATGTAAAAGAGGGAAGTAAAAAATGTACTTTTTCATTATACTCATTCAAATTTCAATCAATTTTTTGTAGGGTAACCCAGGACCCCCAGGCCCTGGTGGTGCTCCAGGCAAAGATGGACCTCCAGGTCCTGCAGGAAGCAATGGTGCTCCTGGAAGCCCAGGAATATCTGGACCAAAAGGTGATGCTGGCCAACCAGGAGAGAAGGGATCACCTGGTGCTCAAGGCCCTCCAGTGAGTGGTTTCATTGTTATGCTAACTGTCAATAGTATTTTATTTTTCATCACAAAAGTCAATAGAGGGAAACTGTCACATAAAGATGAGCTAAGTCTTCATTATCTGCTACAACAGGGAGCTCCCGGCCCACTTGGGATTGCAGGGATTACTGGACAACGAGGTTTGGCAGGACCACCAGGCATGCCAGGTCCTAGGGGAAGCCCTGGCCCACAGGGCATCAAGGTGAGTACACACATATCGAAATATTCACTTTGTAAGCTAAATAATGTGATTGATTGTGTAAAAGAAAATGAAATTAAAAATGAATAAATAAGTAAATAAAATAAAAATCTCTTTAATGAGAACAAAAAAAAAATGGTGAGTACAGCTGTATTTCCCTAGATTCTTGATCAGAAATCACTTGACCACACCAGGTATGATATGTTTTCCCTTCATAGATGCAAATTATCTAAAGATAACTTTATAAAAATATTTTTGGATTTTCAGAAGCATGCATTTTATTCAATGGCTCCAGAACATAAAAATAAGGCACATCATAGACCAGCCTTGAATATAAACATAAACAAATTGATGATAGAGAAAAGTATCTTGCCATCTCAAACATCTCTGTTAAAAACTTGTAAAATTCTTCATTTCATTCACTGTCAAATCTGGAAGGAGGATAAAAGATAGTTTGTAGATCCTGACATATAGCCATTAGGTTATTAGTCATTAATTCTAGTCATTTTTTACTCCAGATTTTCTTTCATTAATATTACTATGAAATTCTTGTGTCTTAAATATTCATTTGGCAAGTAGAGTAATAAAATTCCTTTTGTATTATTGCTCACATTATTAAATTTTATGCACCTCTTTTTAGAAAATGCCAGGTACTATTGTTCTGAAATTAATTTAACATTTAAGTGCATTCAATTTATACATTTAGGAAGTGCATATCCTTCCTGTAGAAACAAATGTTTGATAACGATTGTAATGATCACCATAAACCTATAGTTATATGATGGTGCATCAAAATTTTGTTTTAATATCCAAGTCTATGCACATATCTCATATTAACATACCTTTTGAATAAGGTAATAAATATTACTCATCCCTTTGGCATCCAGAATCACGTGGCAAGTTGAAAATACAAGAAACTTGCTTCCCCAAACATTTTCTCCATGGGGAGCATATTTTTTTAAAAAAATAGAATATAACAATACTTTTGCCTAAGAAATAACATCCTATTAATGTATTTTTAAAGTTAAGATGAAATTTATTTTATTTCTCTGCTCACAGGGTGAAAGTGGGAAACCAGGAGCTAGTGGTCTAAATGGAGAACGTGGTCCTCCTGGACCTCAGGGCCTTCCTGGTCTGGCTGGTACAGCTGGTGAACCTGGGAGAGATGTAAGTAGTAACTCTTATGAAATGTTCAACCAGCCAGGTGGAAATTGATAATTAATTTAAGCAAAGGTCAAAATTGAGCTTTGATGTTGAAAAGTATAAATATTGTACCATAAGAAATTTTTCTTCCCCTCTCTAATAACAGATATTCTTACCATTAAAACTTCGCATAGCCTTAAAGGCCTATGTACATTAATGATTATCCAATAAATGATAATAGGAAAAATATAATCTCTGGGAAAATTAGGAAATCAGTTAGTAGGGGGGTCCCCAATTTTAACATGTCATTTTTGTGAAAAATGTTTAGCACTTATCTGTAATTAGTCTTTTCTTATTTATATTTAAAATTAATGCAATTTTAATTGAAAATTATAATTGTGAACATTTATGAGATGCAATAAATGTTTTTACATACAGTTTATATATAGAATGTAGAACAGTTAAATCAGGCTAATTAAACAGTAGATTTCCATTATTAGCTTAGATCACTATTTCTTGAACAATTATTATTAGTTCCCTCATAAGGATCTTTTCCAGTCATTTATTTTCCTTAATGATTTTTCCCCCTCCTACCCATGAAATTTTAGTACTACAGATGTGCTATGTATCTGTTTAGTAATTGTGACCCTTTCAAGGCTTACACTCTATTCTAATACCTAAGGTTTCTCACTCCCAGTGAACCAATATTCACTCCTTGGAAGATACATTGTCTTGTCTTGCCAAGAATGCATGGCTTAGATAGTATTTGGATGGTTTCAAGAATTTTTTTTTCCCACTTTTTAGGTTTTTTGCTATAAATCACTTGTACTAGCCAGTAAGAGAGAAAGAGGGGACAAATGAGAAATCATCAGCTCCCCATGAGTATGGCCACACTATAATCACTTCTCCATTCTCTTGGGATTTGGGGGACACACTCACATGCACCCAGCATATTTTCTAAGCTGCCAAGTCTAGGACTTGAACTGTGCCCTCAGCCATGTGGGATACAGCCCTCTTAACCATCACACCACCTTGACTAGCCCTCAAGAAACTTTTAACTGATTTCTTTTCTCTTTTTTAAACCAGGGAAACCCCGGATCAGATGGTCTGCCCGGCCGAGATGGATCTCCTGGTGGCAAGGTATAATTAATAGATGTTTATCAGGTTTGTGCAATTAAAGCAAGGGATCATCATATTTATTCTGGATCTATGAATTTGTTCATAGGGTGATCGTGGAGAAAACGGCTCTCCTGGTGCTCCTGGTGCTCCTGGTCATCCAGGCCCACCTGGTCCTGTTGGTCCAGCTGGACAGAGTGGTGACAGAGGAGAAACTGTGAGTTCTACTAGGCACCATTTTTCTACTTTCTGACTTTTCTCAGTTAAAAAAAAAATACAGTAGGTAGAATATAAGATGTAAGACCTGCCAACCAAAATATCTGCTGTGATTTATTTTACAGTTTTTATGGTAATCAGTTTTATGCAATTGTGCTAATAAAGATACCCCAGAAGTTTCTGGCAGTAGTCAATGAAGAATTCACTAATAAATCCAAAACAGTATTAAGCAGACCATATTGATCAGAACAACTGTCTATTTGCAAAGAAAATGAAAAGACAACTTAATATAACTTTTCTGTTTAAACTCTAGTAAAGATGTAAACAAGGAAAGAAATTTGAAGGAGGAATCAACACTAATTTTCAATAATAATTTAAACTAGTATCCCATCACAGTGAAGTTATTACCTTTAAAAAAATTACATCAGTCATAAAAACAATTCCATGTGTGTTTACTTATTTGTTTGTTTTTGTCAAAGGGCCCTGCTGGTCCATCTGGTGCTCCTGGTCCTGCTGGTTCCCGAGGCCCTCCTGTAAGTTTTATTTTGATTTGTCTTTTGTTTAGTTACTTTACTCAACCTACAGTGTAGGAAATACTATTCTGTTTTCTGCTCTGTTCATGAAAAGAGGATGACAAAGTACATAATTGGAGAACGAATATTATTTCTCCTCTGATGATATAAAAAGTAATTCAGGATCTAAAAATTCCTTGAAGCCAAGGATGTTAATGTTATACAGTAAGGTTCTATGCAATTATCAGTCCAAATTAAAATAGATACAAAAATCTTTACTGTTTCATGTATAATGGGTCTGTTGATGGGGATTTCTAGTTGATGATATTTCATAGATTTAATTGTTATAAATTCTATTTTATTTTCCCAATATGTATATGTGCATATGAGGGTAATATGAAATGTGTTTCTAAAGGGTCCCCAAGGCCCACGTGGTGACAAAGGTGAAACAGGTGAACGTGGTTCTAATGGCATCAAAGGACACAGAGGATTCCCTGGTAACCCAGGTTCCCCAGGTTCTCCAGTAAGTGCAACTTTTTATTTTTTTTAATATATGAAAATGCCCTTCAATAATGCATTTAACCAAAGTGATAGGCAAAATTTAACTACTAATATTTTTTTTTTCTGCCTCTGAAAGTGTGTGCTAGAAGAGCTGGAAAGTAGATTTGAGGGCTAATTACATGAAACGATGGAGAGATTAAAGAAAGAGAAAACCATATTCCATCACAGTCCATGTATTACTTGATCTGATCTTGAATGTACAGTTCCGTAAACCTTTTAAAGACCTTCACTCATATTTGCCCTTCTTTTCCTTTAGGGTTCTCCTGGTCACCAGGGTGCTATTGGCAGTCCAGGACCTGCAGGCCCCAGAGTAAGTATCATAGAAAAATGTCAAAAAAATCCACATTTTGAAAATGTTTGCACTACGGGAAGAAATTTTGGGATTGTGATATCGTGATAACTTCCTAGGGACCAGTTGGACCCAGTGGACCCCCTGGCAAAGATGGAACAAGTGGCCATCCAGGTCCCATTGGGCCACCAGGACCTCGAGGTAACAGAGGTGAAAGAGGATCTGAGGTAAGACACCCTTTAGACATGTGTGCATTTCATTTATTATAACCTTCAAATTTCAGAAACACCGTGCAGTATTTTAAAACTGAGATAGAGAGTTAAATACAATGCAGGCACCCAGTTTATAAAACAAACAAGTGCATTGAATCCCTACAACATGAAGATTTCCATCTTTCTGCAATGAGGTGGGGGGAATTTACAATTTAATTGATAACTGTTATACCAAGAATATGACTTCTGCCCAATTAATCAAATGAACCATGACGACATTGATCTTATTACAGATCTCACAATTATGATATTTGCAATGATTTACATTTATGAAGTACATTTTAATTCTAGAACAGCTTTCATCATTCCGTTTTTACCACTGATACTATCATTTAGAATTCTAAATGAAATAAAAAATATTACTCCCACGAGTTACACATGTGGAAATTGAAACACAAATAACTTAATTGATCAACTCAAAGACACAGAATTAATGACAAATTTGGGATCAGAATCTAGGTTCTCTGATCATACTCCCTCAAATATGTCAGTATTATAATCGTGCTTCACAGACTTTGCTAACATCATTTACTTAGAAGGAACGATAGAGTAAAAATTATGCTTTAACACCACTGACTCTTTCATGAAGAAATAATGTATTTCTTGGTAATTAACTGTACATGTTATAAATTGGTTATTATATAATCACAAAAGTATCCAAGTAAATTTTTATTGAAGTAACTGATGATACAACCTATATTCATAGGTTTTTGAAAATGAAAACAATTTAAATGCATTTTCATGTACTAGCAACAAATTCTCTCAGTGGAGACCAAACAAATACACCTCAACAATGCATGTTTTTACCCATAATAGGGTTCTCCAGGCCACCCAGGACTGCCAGGCCCTCCTGGACCACCTGGTGCCCCAGGTCCTTGCTGTGGTGGTGGAGCAGCTGCCATTGCTGGGGTTGGAGGTGAAAAATCTGGTGGTTTTGCCCCATATTATGGAGATGACCCAATGGATTTCAAAATCAACAGCGAAGAGATTATGTCTTCACTCAAATCTGTTCATGGACAAGTAGAAAACATGATTTGCCCTGATGGTTCTCGTAAAAACCCTGCTCGGAACTGCAGAGACCTGAAATTCTGCCATCCTGAATTCAAGAGCGGTATGTTCAGGAATCTCTCACACTCATGTCAATTGCTTATAGAGATAGCTGCTTATGTTAGAATTTGAGGAAGAGAAAGCTTTTACTGCAAATGAACAATATTTTATATATGAAATAGTACTCAAAGAATATTCATTGGATTTAAATTGCTTGATAGTGTAAGAAAACTTAAACTTTTCAAGAGTAATCATTGAAACATAAATAACTTCAAATATTTCAAACACAGGAAAAATTAGGGATGGTTCTGTAGAAATTTCAATACTGATCATAGTTATACTACTGAGTACCATCACAAAGTTATTTGAACGATAAAGTGATATATGTGTTCCCAAGATTAAATATATATTATTTGATGCAAATTATTGTAATTTGATTAATACTTATTAATAATGATATTATTCATAATACTACATCTAAGTATTAAATTTACAAATTAAGAAGGAAGAGAAAAATTTCAGAATGCAGTATCAAGCTGAATGGAATATTATAATAGTCTAAGCTTTTTCACATATTGGGTTAATTCTAAAAAGAAAAATTATTTTAATCTATCAAAAATCTTGACATAGAAACTTGCCTTCACTAAGGGTCATTCTAGAAATTATTTAAAATAGGAGACAATGATCATGAACTTTAGGTTTATATCTATTGCTTAAATCTATATTAGATAACCAATTCATTATTAAACAATATTACATTAAATGACTAATAATTATTTTTAAAAAGAGAGATTACAACAAACATTATACATCAGTCTAGTCAGTCTAAAAGTCTATCGTCATTATTCAAATGAAAATGCCATATTTTATTTCAATGTCTTCTATAGTTATAGATAACAATTTTATCATAGAAACTTCAGTCTAAAAGTTTCCATATTGTGCTATACATACAAATACACTAGCAGTCAACATTATATTGCCTTTTCAGGCAAACAAACAAGTTTATTTTGGTCCAGATTTCTTTACTGCCTATTTTAACCAATTCCTATTGTCCTTTTCTTGTGACTATTCAGGAATATACTGGGTTGATCCTAATCAAGGTTCCAGGATGGATGCTATCAATGCATTTTGTGATATGAATACTGGCGAAACATGTGTAAAACCCAGTCCTTCAGATGTTCCACGTAAAAACTGGCGGTCACATTCCAATACTAAAAAGACACATGTTTGGTTTGGAGAGGCAGTAGATGGTGGTTTTCAGGTACGGAAAGATACACCTTTTTCAAATATATCAACTTGCCATCAGACAAGAAGGCTAGAAGTTGTTCCTTCTGTCTGTTCTTCACAAACCAAGTTAATTAATAAATAGAAGAATCCAAATGATCTTATATATTCAAGGGACCATACTTTTAGGAATTGTATAACTTGTCTTCCAAAGAAAGCATACAAATTATTGTTTGTATGCAAATAGCTTTATTTCACTTAAGAAATTTCTTATTGTGTCATGACATAAAAATACATTCATATGTAAAATATTCATACATAAGATAAATGAGCAGTCTGCATTATATTGTCCATACTAATACTATATGAATCTTTTACATGTAGTTGCAACTTAAAGATTTGATCACTTTTATTTGCTCCCTCTTACAGTTTAGCTATGGCAATCCTGAGCTTCCTGAAGATGTCCTCTTTGGCCAGCTGGCTTATCTTCGACTTCTCTCTAGTCGAGCCTCCCAGAACATCACCTATCACTGCAAGAATAGCATTGCATACATGGATCACTCCAATGGGAATCTAAAGAAAGCCCTGAAGATGAGAGGGTCAAATGAAGATGAACTCAAAGCTGAAGAAAAGGGCAAACTCACATACACAGTTCTGGAGGATGGCTGCACTGTAAGAAACAATTTATTTTTTAAAAGGTTTTTGCTATAGGGCGCATGTGCTCTCCAGAAAGACAGAGAGAGACAGAAAGATAGAAAGCAAGAAATTATCCTCCAGGGGGAATGGCCATGCCTCAATCCGTTCTCCCCTCGGGATCTTGGGCATGCACACACACACGCCCGGCATGAGTTTAAGCCACCGGGTCTGGGACTTGAACCACAGTCGGCTACATGGGAGCTCAGCAACATAGCTGTTACACTAACTGCTGGTCCCCTGTAAGAAACATTTTTATAAATGGAGATCATAGTGTGCTCAGCATTTCCAGTTTAATTTGAAACAAAAGAAATAAAAATAACAGACTGAGCAAAAGATGGCATTTGGTATGATATATGAGGAGACTTCAAATAGTTTGTGGAAAATCAGAATTAAAGTAAGAGTTTATTTTTGGTGCAAAAAATTTTTTTAGATCCATGCATTTTTTATAATGCACATTTTTCGTGAACTTTTCCAACTTTGGCATAGCATTCACTTATTCATTCTAGGAAATGTTAAATACTACGAAAAGTGAGTAGATCTTCCTAAGCTCCAGATATAAACCAGTTGAAATAAAACAATTGCAATTTAAACCCATAGTATTTAGAATCTGTATTAGATAACGAGGATAGTTAGTATGTTCTTGTAATATCTAACATAAATACTCAACTTAAAATCCTTGCTTTTTATTTTAAAGTCTCAATGCAAATATGCTTTGTTGTTGTCATTTATAAAAAAGGGAGAATTCATTTCTAGCATTAGTAAGTTCTACTGTGAGCGATAACTGTTAGTAAAGTAACTACATACCTGGGAAGAAAGACCAGAACCAAGCATCCTGAGAATGGGAATGGGCCAGGTTATGGTAATCTTTCTGATAGAGTTTCTCCTAAAGACACACAAGGCTTTTGAGAATATTGTTTATCAGTTGGGAGGATTATCATTTCAAAGTGAAGCTGGTGTCATACGTATAAAAGATAACATCACAGAATGACAACTCCCCTAAAGTAATAAATAATAATAATAACTTGATCATTCATAGGACTTATCTTAGTAATTATAATGTCTTAATTACTTACTTACTTTTCTCTCTCTCTTTTTAATAGACACACACTGGGAAATGGAGCAAAACAGTCTTTGAATATCGAACGCGCAAGGCCATGATACTACCTATTGTGGATATTGCACCCTTTGACTTTGGTGATGCTGATCAAGAATTTGGTTTTGACCTTAGCCCGGTTTGCTTTTTATAAACCAAACTCTGTCCGAAACCCCAGCAAAAATTCCGCACTTCATATCCTCTCGTTCTAATCTTGTCAACCAGTACAAGTGACCAACTAAATTCCAGTTATTTATTTCCAAAAATTTTGGAAAAAAAGTATAATTTGACCAGAAAAGGAAACTTTTTTTTTTGCTTTTCCATCAAATACAATTTAAATGCTTTTTGTTTTATTTTTTTACCAATTCTAATTTCAAAATGTCTCAATGGTGCTATAATAAATAAACTTCAACACTCTTACAATAACACTGTGTTACATTCCTTGAATCCTAGCCCATCTGCAGAGCAATGACTATACTCATCAGTAGAAGATAACCTTTCTTTCTGAAACAGTAAAACATGAAATTAGGATAAAAACCTCCCTATTTCAACTACCTCAACTGATCAGAAACAAGATGAATTCTGAGAGTTCCAGAAGACCAAATAATTAGAATAAGTTGGCAAAATTTAATTGATTAATTTTGTAGAACAGTAGTTTTAAAAATAAGATAGAAGGTAGTAAAAGAATTTAAAGAAAAAATTTAAAGCCACAATTATTCTAATCTTGGATATTGACTACTTTTAGAGGTGCTTCTCTCTTTTCTTGTCATTGCTGGTCAAGATTAGTAATATTTGGGAAGGCTTTCAAAACACATGTTATGGTGCTAATGTGCTTTCACTTTTAAAATCTAGATCAGAATTGTTGACTTGCATTCAAAACATAAATGCACAACATCTGTACATGTCTCCTGTCAGAAAGATTCTTTGGCAGGCCACAGGGGACTCTCCCTTCATCCTGTAAAAGTCAACAACAAAAAACAAATTATGGGGACTGTTTTTGTTACAATAACACAGAAACTATGTTGAAAATTAACTTTGTAAGCTTGTATGTGGTTGTTGATCTTTTTTTCTTACAGACACCCATAATAAAATATCATAATAAAAAATTTCTGGTTTTCATCACTTTTCATAGACTTAACAAGTGCATGTCTACACTTAAAAATTCTATTGATTTTCTTGGAAAAGTATATTAAATTCTAACCCTCTAGTTTAATATAATGACTTTTAGAGAATGTAAAATATTATAACACATTATATTATTCATAATACAAATATTGCTTTGGTAAGTGGGAAATTCAGCATATTTGTAGATCATATTTAATATTATCCTTGGAGCATATTGAAATTTGAGGGCATTCTATTTGAAGAGGTCAATTCCTGGAAACTGGGAATTAGTCAGTAGGGGAATTTCTAAAGTAGGAATAATCAGGGAGGAAGATATTGGTAATTTATCTAGTAGTAAAATCAGCCTGGCAAAACATACTAATATTAAGAATAATTGACAAGTACCTGATGATCTTGTTCACATGAGGAATCTAACAAGTTGAATAAAATTATTCTACTGATGGTTATCAGGGCTGGGGAATGGGATTGGGGGTATTATACAATGTGGTGACTATATTTGATAATGCTATGCTCTATTCTTAAAAATTGCCGAGAGTGAGCCAGCAGGTGGTATGGTGGTTAAGGTGCTGGATTCTGCTTGACCAAGAATACAGTTCAAGTCCTGGAACCAGTGATGGCCTGAAAAAACAACAGGTGCATGTGAATATATGCCCCAAATCCCAAGAGAATAGAGAAGAAGGGATTGCAGTGTGACCATCCCCCCCGGGGAATGATTTCTCACTTTACTTCTCCCTGACATTCTCTGTCTCTCTTTGGCAAATGTATATGCTCTATGGGAAGAAAAAAAAAAAAAAACCATGCACAGAAAAACCAAAATCTAAAATAAAATTGCCAATTTCAAGTGTTCTCACCACAAAAGAATGATTAAGTATGCGAGGTATTGCATATGTTATTTTATTTGGTTTAGTCCTTTTGCTATATATACATATATTTCAACATGTCATGTTGTGCAGAATAAATATACACAGTTTTATTTGTCAATGAAAAATAATAACACTGTAAAAATATTAAGAACAATTGCCAGCTAGGGCTTTTACTACCCTGTTAGCTCTACACACTGCTTTGTTGATATTCTCCACCATCAAGTTCTTATTCTCTTAGTGACTATATACAAAAATAGCATGGTCTTGCAGACTTGGCTTTATAGTTTGAAATTTACTCACTCCATACTGCTAACAGCAATAGCAATACTTTCAAAATTAAAGATTTAATCTGTCAAACATCAAGACTAAGTCCACTTACTCTCCAACAGAGTCAGTATACATTAACAGTTTCTGGTACATCTTTCCAGAAATATTTTATTTACATACAAATGCTATATGTGTCATATGTATCATATAACATATTATATATTTAGAGAGAGAGAAAAAAAAGCTAGAGAAAACCAGCAGTATGAATTAAAAATCAGATTACTTGGAATTCTGTCTAAACAAAGAGAAATAGCTGTGAAATACAACTTTCTGCCTCCTTTATTCTTCTAGTTGCCAGAGGGCACCCAGTCACCAGACAGAGACAGAGATGGAAGGAAAGAGAAAGCATTTCCCAATGGGACATAATCACATCACATCTCTAAACCCCATTTCTCCACCCAGTCAGATTTTGTGCAAACAAACAGATGCACCTACCATGTCTTTTATTTTCAACTCATTATATCCTGGAGAGCTGTCCATCTCACTAAACATAGCTCTGACTTATTTTGTGTTATTATTAATGTCTGAGAACTCACTTTAGTGAATAAACTGGAATTAAAATAATGTATTTGCTACCAAGCATTTAAAACCCTATTTCCCTGCTCCATTTACATTTCAGCAAGTCTTGGCTGCGGTTAAAAGCCCTTGGCACTTGCTTTTCCAGTTTCCCTTAGATTAAAGCTCAGGCATGTGACCGACCACAGTTTGGCAAATCAGACACATATACATGAACGTTTCAATCTAGAGATAGTTGTATTAGTTTCATGTTACTGATATAGTAAGTTATCATAAACTTAGCAAATTTAGAGACTTGGAAACAGCACAAATTGCAAATTTATTTTCTTATATTTCTGGAAATCAAAACCTGGATCTTACTGGGCTTCAAATCAAAATGCCAAGCAAGGCTGTATTTATTCCCACCTAGAGATTTTAGGGAGAAACTGCATTGTCTCCTTTTCCAGCTCCTCAAAGCTACACAGATGCTGTGGTCCATGAGCTACTTTCATCTTCAAAATAAGCAATATTTGGTAAAGGCTTTTTCACACTGCATCACTATGTCGTTGGTGCTTCTACCTTCTTTCACTTATGAGGGCCCTTATGACTACATTAAGCTCAATAGAATAATCTTGCATACTCTCTTCATTTCAGGGTCAGTTGATAAATCACCATAATTCCATCTGCAACCTTAATTCTCTCTTGGCCTGTCATGTAACCAGCACATTCACAGGTTCTGCGGATTAGGATGTGGACATATTTGGAGGAGGACACTTTTCTACTTACTGCAGCAGTGATGTAAAGACACAAGGAAGATAAAAAAAGCCACTTTGATGGTGGCCGCAATGCAGTTGGGGAGGCAACAGATAGCTTTCATAAAGACTGATTTGTATTGAGATTTCTGGTTTACATACAATGTATGTATAGGGTACAATGTGTGTGTGTGTGTGTGTGTGTGTGTGTGTGTGTGTGTGTTTTAAGAGGTTTTTGCTTTAGGGTGTGCACAATTACTAGAAAGAGAGAGAGAGACAGAAACAGAAACAGGGACATACAGTGAGAGGAAAAGTGAGAAACTAACTTCCAAGGGAAATGGCCACACTGCAATTCCTTCTCCTCTATTCTCCTCCTGGATCTTGGGCATGTGTGAACACATGCCCAGTGTGATTTTCAAGCTACTGGATCTAGAACTAGAACTGGGGTGGGCCACATGGTAGCCCAGTAATGTAACAGCTATGACATCTGCTGGTCCCCAGTGCGGTTTTCTTCAAAGCATGTATGCAGTGTAATAATGAAGTCAAAGGAAGAAAAACCATATTTGCCATATCCAAGCTTTTGTATTACTTTGTAATGTTCAAAATTTGCTCTGCTGGCTGTTAGAAATATAAACTTGACTAATAGTACTAGTAAGGGCATTTAGTCTCTAGTGTTTGTAATGGTTTCACCAGGCTGCATCTAAGGCATGGTTTTGTAAATAGCTCAAAGGGTCAAAATTCATTTCATATGTTTACTCTATGAATCTGGCTCCCATAGCCTTCTCTGAATTCCTCTGAACTCTAGATAGAATCCAAAAATTCCATTTCTACTTAAGTAAGTCACAGTTCATTTAGATTATGGCTAAGAACCTTGAGCAGGCCAGATTTGGTAATACTAAAGATGGCAGACAGCAGAAATGCAGGAAAATGGAGGCTCTGGAACCAAATGTTTGTACTATTTAGGGGTAAAAGCAGGAATCCACAGCTTGTCTCCAGAGATGAGGATTTGGAAGTACATAGAAATCACTTAATAATGTTTGATAATATGGATTGATTTGTACTTTAAATTCAAGGCTTGAGAATATAAGTGGCCTCTATTGTATAATATATTTGAATGTCACAAGAAATTGCAGGACTGCATATGAATATGATTGCTTTTATTGGTGATACACAGAGGAGAGTGAAGAGTTCAAATCCCTAACTTCATTGCTTAAGACACAGAAGGAAAATTATGCCTTTTCTCACACTATGCTAAAATACAAATATAAATCTTTTGCTAAAAAATATTTGAAACTTTTATCTTTGATGAGATCAGCAGATGGTGTAGTGGTTATGTTCCTTAACTCCCACATGGCAACTGGTGTTCAAGTCCTGGACCTGGTGTCTTCAAAATCATGTCAGGCATGTGTCAGCCAAAGATCCCACGAGGAGAATGGAGGAGAAAGGATTACAGCATGGCCATACTCCCTGAGGGGTGATTTCTCACTTTCCCTCTCACTGTTTCTGCCTCTCTCTCTCTCTCTCCCTCTCTCTTTCTCTCTGGCAAGTGCACAATCTCTAAAGCAAAAACCTCTTAAATTTTTTTTTATCTTTGTCAAAGGTTTGAGATAACCAAAAACTAAATACAAATCTTAATTTGCAGACCTCCAAACTTTGACATAAATATAAATGGATGTTCTAGTTCTCTGACTGCGATGTGATTGGAAAGTAACATGACACTGAAAATTCGCATTGGGTTTATGAAAGAATTCTCTTTCAACATCCATTCCTGTTTTACAACATCTATTTCCTGCTTGGTAATATTTCTGCTCTTCTTAAAATGAAAGATGCCTGGAAGAAAAGGTCAATTCTCTCCATACCTCCT